CTGCAGGAAAACGCAAACCGCAGCAGAACCACGGCAAAATCACGGTACCCGCGGTTGCTGTGTTTTGCCGTGATTTACGTTTTCCTGCATCTGGCGGTCAGGGTAGGCTCGTGTACATGGAGCCTAACTCCTCAACATCCTATTTGAAATTACAAAAAGATGTTTTGGCTGTATTTGCACTAATTTCAGGTGATTGTAGTGTAACACTACCCCCTAAGGGGTCACTGAGTCATTATTAGGTTCCCTGTCTTGCCTGACCCCCCCCTCCGGATTGTCTAACCCCTTCTGACCCAACCTTAAACTTACAGTCAGAGGAACCTTCTGGTTGCAACCACAAAATCGACTCACAGTTTAGAGTGAGCTGATATTTTGGTTGTATTGTGAACAAATGTAAGCACAGTAAAACAACAGAAAAGTTTGTGCATAATGCAATTCAGAATTTAACCAGTAGTCCCCATCCTGAGATGTCTTTCCCCACTGAGCAAGAAAAATTACCAGAGTGGCTAGCTCACTTTGGGCTCCCAGATGCGGGTGTCAGGGTTCAATTCTGAGGCAAAGAAAGAGCTCTTGAATTGGTCAATGTCCCTTTAAACTGCAGCATAAGATCTTCTGCGTGCTTGATGGGGCCCGAGTTGGTGCACTTTAAGGATTCAAATCCCTCTGAAAGCAAAGGTAGAAGTTCCTTGATAAGGGGTGAATGCAAAGGAAAAGAACTGCCCCCTTTTTAAATGGTAGGTGGCTTGGACGGTACCCCTACGACACACACAGGGTAAGATGTAGATTTAGGCAGGGATGAAAAAAAGGATTTCTGTAAGGATTGACTCCTTTTGGGACCCCAGTGAGAAACGTCAGCAAGGCAGGAGCTCTTTGGCAAATGCGGGGCCGACTGTGGTGAAAGCAATGATGCGGCTTAGCTTGCGGAGGGCAAGACACAGCAGTGGGCTCCTGTGATTGGATTATGCTGAAGGTGTAGTAACCAACGGGCCAGGTAAACTAGGCCTAAAGATGTGCAACTTGTGAACAGTGTCAGTTAAACTAGGCAGAAAGCAGCAGACTTGAGCAATGTCATTGGCAACTTGAATGGATTGAGTATGGAACTCTCTCACCGGTCAGGTAGTTAATGGCCTCTTTGCAGATGGGGGCCCCCAGTGTTCCTCCTTCAGAGATCACTCCAGAAAGCAGCACTCTGGACCACCAGCCTGCAGGACAGCTCACCAGACTTGTCAGCGGTGTCATTGATTAGCAACTCCTCCTCCCTTCACTCTCTCTGCGGCCTAGCCTGGCCTGGTCTTTCGGCATCCCACATGGCCTTCTCCTCACCCCTGTTCTCCAACTCTCACCCCTCACTTGCTATCCCGGGCTTTCTGGCCTCTGCATTTATTTGCCTCCGCCCCATGCCAGCTCCTTTGGGAAATGTAGCTTGCCAGCCCACTGTCCAACAGTAAAGTCCTACAGTCAGTCTACGAATCCCACAAAGCTTTGCAACAGGGTCTGTACAATTGAGACTGCCATCTTGTGTCCATTTAACATTATGCAAGCAGTATCAGAGCAGGGTGTTACACAAGTATCAGGGTTACAAAACTTAAATGTAATGTTTATCTTAGGCCAGGGCATGACAAATTTGCTTTCAATCTAGGAGCCAGCTAAAAAAGTTAGGGGCAGGGTTTTTAGCAAAGCGTCAGTTGTCAGTTCCCGGGGCAAAGCAATTTTTGGGTGACAAGCTTCACACGATGCGATTTGCCACACAACAATCACAGCAAAAGCAAACCGTGGTTTAGGTGCCACTGAAAATAATGGCACCTGAACCTGCGTTTTAAGAACGCAGCAATTCTGCCGCGGTCCCGAAATGCCCAAGTGTGAATGGAGCCGCCCTGATTCACAAATATGCGATTCTGGATGTGTTTTCAAACTCACAGATTTGCATGACAGGCTAAATATTATGTGTTCCTATTGAGGTGGTTGATGCAATCCACATGCATTGCGTTTTGATTGCCATTACGAAAAGGGTCCTGTGTGAGTTTGTAGCAGTACGTTCCAGACTTGCAAGTGATGGGCTCTGTTCACATGCAGTTGTTTTAAATTGCGAGCGCAATCGCCGCAATTCTGCCTGTGATTTGAAAACATGCTGGTAAAATGTGAAATCACGCATCAGCGTAATCAGTTGCCATTAATTTCACTGGCACATGAAATTGTGGGATGTTTTTTGCTACGACTGACACACTATTTTTCACGCATCAATTGCGACGCGATCACGCAAAGAAAATCACGACGCACGTCGCCCAGAAGAAGTTCTGGAACTTTTTTTGGGCAACATGCAATTTTGTTTTGCGTGATCGTGGCACATTTGTTGCGCGTCAATTGTGGGAAAACACCCTGAATTTTCAGGTGCCACTGAAATGAATGATACTTGAACATGCTGATGCATGATTTCACATTTTAACAGTGCGGTTTCAAATTGTGGCCATAATCGCAGTGATTCCGCCCACGATTTAAAACGCCTGTATGTGAACGGAGCCATAGAGTAGACTGACATGCATAGATAAGTGTTAACATAGGATTGCTATTGACAGGAGTTTTTGCATTGAAGTGAATGGAGGGTATTTCTGCATTAAAGTGTATGGGAAGCATTTTTGCATTAAAGTCTATGGCAGGCCTTCTAGCATTAAAGTCTAGGGCAGGCGTTTTTGCATTGAAGTCTATGGGAAGCGTTTTTGCATTGAAATCTATGGGATGCAATATTGAATTGAAGCTGTATAGGTAAAAGACACACAGTGAGCGCTCTCAAAGAAACAGCAGCTGAACATCCAGGATAAACGCATGTAAAAATCCTCAATAAACCATATACATATAAAATGCAGTGCTGTAAAATGATCAAATCATGCAAATCAACACAATAATAGTCCTGAAAAGGTGCTCATTAATTCCCAGTGCCAATGGAATTGAATTGAAGTCTATGGGATGCAATTTTGCATTGAAGTCTACGGGATGCTATTTTGCATTGAGGTCTATGGGATGCAATTTTGCATTAAACCCGGGCACCAGGACGCAATTTCTAGTCACAATAGTGACCTGGCGCCTGGGATTTGTCAAGACCTGTCTTAGTCTACCAGTAAACTTAACCATTTTTCCTAAACAAAAATCACAATCCATACGACTGCAATGTTTTGGCCATTCTCCATCATGAGAATAGATCTTTATTTTTAATATTAAAGTGAGTCCATAACAAACTTGACTGAGACTCAGAAAATTTTGAAAATGTATTATCTGCGATGAAAACCACATCAAAATGACCAGCAGGTCAAGAGGTATAGGCAGCTGAATTTGTATTGAAAACTTGACTTCTGCAAAGAGCTGTGTTTGGCCTTGCCCCCTTCCATCTCCCAAGCTTCCCCAGTTGGTCTTGGATGAGACAGGAGACCTTACTGTCAAGTTGGGGCAAGGCCAAGCTCAACTCATACAAAAGAGGTCAAAATTTGCACTTCTGTGGCAGGCGAGAACTGGTTGCCATGATGGAAATTGGGTATGGCCTTGTTGATTTTGGAGTTGACTCTTTGCTTTGGAGAAAATATATCCAGGCCTGCTTCATAGAGCAATTTTATACATGATGTGTCCATTTCTTGTACCGACAGGCATCAATGTTATCTGACATCATTGCAGGCAAATGTTTAAATTGTAATTTTTTTATTCTTCAATTTTGAAAGTCCTTACAATTCAGGGCCTCTTCACACTTAGGCGCACGTCTCTCAACATCTTGTTGAGTGTGCCCATTCATTATTAATGGATCCTCCATGTGCATTAACAGATAAAAATGTACCTTCCTAATGCTTTTCCAGCATACCACATGTAAAGCATGTATTCATGCAAGGTAAAACATGTACCTTCCTCTCGGCGCTGTGGTGCGCCAAGGGAAAAGTACCTTTTTTTTCCAGGAAGTGTAATGCATGTTGCCATTGAAAATGAATGGCAAATCGTTGCAGAGCGTGTACACAGTGCATTGTTGTACAGTGCGTTATTCTGCATAATCATGCGTGTTTAGACATGGTACAACCCACATGCAAAAGTGCAATGGGGCCCTAAGGAAAAGAAGCTTTCCCACTAAAAATGGTCATTCTGGGAAAGTCACAAGTCTGACAAGCCCAGTCTATATGTAGCATTACGCCTAAAGCAAGATCTTGGAGAAACCACTGTAAGTCACAGTACTTGTAGATAATTCCCCTGAAGAAGTCACAGGGTGTGGTGATGAAACGCGTATGGATGGAACCGTTGGATGACGTCACGACGCTGGTTTACACAATAAAATGTGGTATTCCTATAGCAGTGAAGGTATTATTGCACGGGATTAAAGGATTTATTATACATGCTGGGTATACCTGGTGAAATCTAGCACCTGAAACAAGTGAGTACATATTTATTTATTTATTTATTTATTTCAGGTACTTGTATAGCACCGTCAATTTACGCAGCGCTTTACATATATATTGTACCCTCAAGGGGTGTACAATCTAAGGTCCCTAACTCACATTCCTACATACACATACTAGGGCCAATTTAGACAGGAGCCAATTAACCTACCAGCATGTCTTTGGAGTGTGGGAGGAAACTGGAGTACCTGGAGGAAACCCACACAGTCACAACATGCAAACTCCAGGCAGGTGGTACCGGGGTTGGGATTCGAACCAGCAACCCTAGTACTGCCAGGCGGAAGTGCTATCCATTTAGCCACTGTGCTGTCCACATATTAATCTTTTTTTAGAAGAAGAGGGGATCTTTTTTAGTGAGGAGGCAGCGAGGTACAGAATCACAAGCTGAATCAGAGTCATGGATAAAGTTAAGGTCAGGAACTGGTAGGCGTCAGTACACAAGAGGATCTGAGATCAGGTCAGGGGAGAGCCGGGTCAGAAACAGGAATCAAATGGACACAGGCCAGATCAGGGGCGGACTGACCATTCCAGCACTCGGGCAGTGCCCGAGGGCCCGGGGTCAGTAGGGGGCCCCATGAGATGCCCCTGGTACCTTTCATAGGCTTTTTTGGGTGTGGTTTGAGTGTGGGCCCCATGATCCCCTATCATCGGGGGCCCCATGAGTTGCCAGTCCACCCCTGGGTCAGATCACAAATTACAAACTGAAGACCAATCAGCACGGGGGCCCCATGAGTTGCCAGTCCGCCCCTGGGTCAGATCACAAAACACAAACTGAAGACCAATCAGCACTGAAACTGAGTTAAAGCCTCCCTTAAATAGGCCATCTGGCACCAATACTAGCTGTAGATGTGCACACGCATCCACACACAAGGATTCACGCCCTTTTGGACGCCAGTGCACACCTAGCCCCGATTCTATGTGGAGAGCCAGGTTCATGTGCATGTTTCCAAGACAGTTGTCTAAAAGGAATTCTATGACACCAACAGTGTTTATAAAGGTCTGTAAGGGGGCATTCCTTTCAAAGGCTGCCACTGTAAGGGGCATTTTTCCCACTGAGCCCTATTAAGTTTGTTTCAGCAGCAGTTCCCCGACACCTGAAAATTATTTCAAGGGTTCCTCTGGGACAGAAAGGCTGAGAAAGGCTGATCTATACAGACATAGCTTGAGAGCTTTTACCTTTACATTCATAACTTATATTATGAATATGTGTACGTGTACCTGTGTATGTGAGTATATAGTATATAGTGTTTTCAAAGGATCCTTTGATAAAGTCATGATGACGAAATGCGTCAGTAGTGACGTCAGGCGTTATCGGAAGTATCGCGGCGGCCATCTTGGATGAGGTCCGGACTGCCATAAGGAGATAGTGAGCTATTAAGTTGATTTTAACCATTTGCCGCCCGCCCTATGGCCAAACGGCGGCCGGCAAATGTCATCAGCGTTCCGGGTGGACGCCATATGGCGTCCTCCCACACATGCGCAGATTGCACTACTGCAGAGCCGCGCAGCGGCACGATCTGTCACTGGCCGTGTAGCACGGACACGGCCGATGACAGATCTGAGTATCGGCCCCCGTTGCCGGTACCATGTGACCTGCTGTGATCAATCACAGCAGGTCACATGACAGTTGTATACAATGGATGGCTTCATTCATGCCATCCATTGTATACTAGTGTCTAGCTGTGAATGGTCACAGCTAATCACATGCACATGTCATGTGATTAGCTGTGGCCAAATCACAGCTAAGCACAAAAAAAAAAAACCCTGAATGAATCGATGTCATTCAGGTAAATGCTTGCTTATAGCAAAGTAATTCTTTGCTATAAGCAAATTGTGTCAAAAAAAAAAAAATACTGATCACTTCCCCAAAGTAGTACAATGTTACTATGGTAACATTGTACTACGTTGGTCATAGTGAAATATGAAAAGAAAATCTTAAAAAAAAGAAAAAAATTTAATAAAAATTAATAAAAAAAATAAAAAATATATATATTTTTTTTTTTTTCATACTGTAACCAGTCAGTGTCCCTGATCACTGCCATGCTAGTTATATGATGACGCTGTACTGCACTGGTGACAGTATGTAAAAAAAAAATAGTGAAACTAATTTTTTACATTTTTTCATTTTCCGAAAAATTATGACAAAAAAAATACAACTTCACAAAACTCGCCATGCCTCTTATGAAGTACGTCGGACTGTCTACTCTGCAAAAAGGGGTCATTTGGGGGATATCTGTACTGTTCTGACATTTGGGGGATATCTGTACTGTCCTGACATTTGGGGGATATCTGTACTGTCCTGACATTTGGGGGATATCTGTACTGTTCTGACATTTGGGGGATATCTGTACTGTCCTGACATTTGGGGGATATCTGTACTGTCCTGACATTTGGGGGATATCTGTACTGTCCTGACATTTGGGGGATATCTGTACTGTTCTGACATTTGGGGGATATCTTTAATGTTCTGACATTCTTGGACCTCAAGAAATTAGATTGGCTGTCAGTACTTCAGGATTGATCAATATTCAGATCTATACCATAGTTTGTGAACTCTATAACTTTCCTACAAACTAAATAATACATCCTAATTTGGGTTATTTTCACCAAAGACATGTAGCAGAATACATCTCGGCCTAAATTTATGAAGAACAATTATTAATTTGTAAACTTTTATAAACAAAGAAAAACATGTGTTTTTTTTCAAAATTTTTGGTCTTTTTTTGTTAATTTAGCAAAAAATAAAAACCCTGGCGGTGATTAAATACCGCCAAAAGAAAGCTCTAGTTGTGTGAAGAAAATGATAAAATTTTAGTTTGGGTACAATGTTGCATGACCGCGCAATTATCATTCAAAGTGTGAGAGCGCTGAAACCTGAAAACTGGCCTGGGCAGTAAGGGGTAAAATTGCCCGGTATTGAATTGGTTAAAGCTGCATATACTCTGCATTGATGTAAGCACTTTTAATAAAGTTCCACAATACTTTTAAGAAGGTTTTGCAGGATGATATTGTACTTTCTTTCTGGGTATTCTCATCGCTGATTTGGAGTACTGGTTGCAAGAGCCTGGAGCTTTTATTGGGTCTGAGTCAAGCTTGCATTACCTGTCCTTTGGTAAGGTATATCGGTTGACAGGTGCCCAGGGGCGGACTGACCATTTGGAAACTCGGGCACTGCCCAGGGTCAGTAGGGGGCCCCATGAGATGCCCCTGGTACCTTTTTCATAGGCATTTTTGAGTTTGAGCAAGGACACAGGGGCCCCATGATCCCCTATTGCCTGGGGGCCAGATGAGTTGTCAGTGCCTTAATATTTAGACCACAGAGGATATTGACCACTTTTGAAGTTTGGCGTGGCATGAATTCACATTACAGGAGTAATATTGTCATGACCTTGTAGAGGCAGCAGAATCCTGGAGCACGTTATTTGATTTAATTAGCCTACACCACCTGTTCATTCAGTAAGGTACATGGATTGACAGGAGGCACACCTGATTGATTGCACTTTATGGTCACTAATTATAGTGTGGTGTGGCACATACTCTCTGTGTATGAGGAGTGTGGAGTATTAAGTAATTCACTAATTTTGGTTAGGGGAGGTATTTATAAAAGTGATCACGGGGATATGTTGTGATTCACACACACTTATTATACTTGCATTTAAGAATAATGCACTATGTTGAGTTTATTTGTTTCGAGGTACTTTGAATAGAAGAGAATGTATTGGTTTGCTGTACACAAAGAATTGAAGGAGCTCCAAGTACTGTAGGACTACATGAAGATTTAATAGGGTGTGTCATGTTTCACATGACTGTCATATGCCTTTAAGTGTTCTTTGTATTTTGTCTCTGCTCCTCCTTTTCCTCTGGTTTAGTTCATGCTGTATAGATAGCCCCACCCCTTTTCCCAGTAATGCATTGCAGCTCTAGCCTCATGTCATGAAGCAGATCACATTATGATCTTTTGATCTATCCGATGTTCATTGTTGTAAGATTCTCTCAGTTTATGGAATAAACTTCACAAGATCTGCAAGGTGTCATCTGGATTGAGTCACTGCCTGCATTATTCAACTAAGATTGAAGTTATCGCTATCTCATCTCAACTGTAAGTTACAGAGATCACATTTTCAATGCTTAGATTGGAGAGACAGAACAGGGTGTATGGACTAATATTGATTTAACCATATTGAACATTTGGTTTATACTCACGGGGATTGACACTGTTATATGTAGGGTGGCTGGATACTGTGTATATTCAGAACTCACAACATGAAGATTTTTCAATTTCATTTTTATAATGGATTGTCAATAATAACTATTGTCTGTATTGCCATTATAATGCTGATGTTATAAAATGAAGGGGTATGCTGGGACCATAAATTTCCTTTAACCAATTCCTCTCTGAAAGGTTTTACCCCCTTCATGACCAGGCCATTTTTTGCTATTCAGCACTGTGCTACTTTAACTGGTAATTGCGCAGTCATGCAATGCTGTATCCAATCAACATTTTTTACACAAATATAGCTTTCTTATGGTGGTATTTGGTCACCAATGGCTTTTTTTTTTGCGATATGAATGAAAAAAAGACTGAAACTTTTGAAAAAAAAAACTATTTTTACTCTCTGCTATAAAACACTGTGCAAAAAAATTAAAGGAACACTTTTTAATCAGAGTATAGCATCAAGTTAGTTAAACTCCTGGGATATTGATCTGGTCAGTTAAGTAGCAGAGGGGGTTGTTAATCAGTTTCAGTTGCTTTATTATTAATAAAATTAACAACAGGTGCACTAGATGGGCAACAATGAGAAGACCCCCCAAAACAGGACTGGTTTTACAGGTGGAGGCCAATGACATTGTTTTCCCTATTCATTTTTTCTGACTGTTTTTCATTAGTTTTGCATCTGGCTAGGGTCAGTGTCACTGCTGGTAGCATGAGGCCATACCTGTACCCTACAGAGGTTGCACAGGCAGTCCAACTCCTTCAGGATGGCACATCAATACATGCCATTGCCAGAAGGTTCGCTGTCTCCCAGCACAGTCTCAAGAGCATGGAGGAGATTCCAGGAGACAGGAAGTTACTCTAGGAGAGCTGGACAGGGCCGTAGAAGGGTCTGGAGAAGCCGTGGAGAATGTTCTGCTTCCTGTAACATCGTTCATCATGACTGTTTTGGTGGTGGGTCAGTGATGGTCTGGGGGGGCATATTCATGGAGGGACGCACAGAGCTCTACAGGTTAGACAATGGCACCCTGACTGCCATTAGGTATTAGGATGAAATCCTTGGACCCACTGTCAGACCCTACATTGGTGCAGTGGGTCCTGGGTTCCTCCTGGTGCCTCATGTGGCGAGAGTATGCAGGCAGTTCCTGGAGGATGAAGGAATTGATACCATTGAATACCCCCCGCTCGCCTGACGTAAATCCAATATAACACGTCTGAAATATCATGTTTCAGTCCATCCGACGCCGCCAGGTTGCACCTCGGACTGTTCAGGAGCTCAGTGACCCTGTTCAGATCTGGGAGGAAATACCCCAGGACACCATCCGTCGGCTCATTAGGAGCCTCCCCCGATGTTGTCAGGCATACAAGCATGTGGGGGCCATACAAACTACTGAAGACTATTCTGATTTGCCGCAATTAACTTTCAGCAAAATGGACTAGCCTGCTGTATCATTTTTTCACTTTGATTTTCGGGATGTCTTTGAATTCAGTCCTCTGTAGGTTGATAATTTTCATTTCCATCAAATGATGGGGTATCCTTACATTCCTAACACATTACCCCGTCCATATCAGAATAGAGACCCAGCATGAGATTTTTCCACATTTAAATCTGAATGTTCCTTTAGTGCAGTGTATTTTAGAAATCAAATCTCTTCATAAATTTGGACCAAAATGTATTCTGCTCTTTGGTAAAAAAAAACAAACCAATAAGTGTATATTGATTGGTTTGCATGAAAGTTATAGCTTCTACAAGCTATGGGATATATACTGAATTTTTTTTTATATACTACTAATAGCAATGATCAGCGACTTATAATGGGCCTGTGAAAGTGCAGCAGGTAATCTGACACTAACTGCCACTGGGGGGGAAATGACTAACTGCCATTGACATCATGAGTGACACTAATACAGTGATCAATGCTAATACTATACACTGTCACTGTACTAATGACACTGGCTGGGAAGGGGTTACCATCTAGGGCAATCAAAGGGTTAAATGTGTGCCTAATGTGTAATGACTTTTACTAACAGATCTCTTTTTTTCTTATTCTTGCTTTACAGAAATTAGAAACTGAGAGATTGTTCCCTCTGTAAAGAGCTCTGTGTTGATTGTCAACACGGAACTCTGGGCTGTGATTGGACACAGCCGATCAGCAGGTCCTGGCCATGAATCATTGGCCCGGTCTTGCTGACAAACTCGTGCTGTGTACAATCAGATAGGGTGTCTGCAGGGGCCACCCATTCACAGTACACTGCGGTCAGGAGGTCCTTAAAAAGTTAAAGAGGACCTACCGTATGCTGTAGAACACAGGTGTCAAATTGCGTCCCTCCAGCTGAGGAACTACGAGTCCCATCATGCCTCTGTATGTGGGAGTCATGCTTGTAGCTGTCAGCCTTGCAATGCCTCATGGGATTTATAGTTCCGCAACAGATGGAGGGCTACAGTTTGAGTGTGCCTAAAAAAAGGTATGCACAGGAAAAAGGACTGGGCACCAGTATTGCCTGTGGCTCCCTGCAGCAGATTTTCTTTCCCCGTTGTTGACTTTACTTTGCCTTATTCTCTTAGGAGAGGTGACCATACTGGTGGGTTCAGAGATTTGCTGCCTTTTGGCAGAACTGACCTCCTGATGACTGGTGAAGAAGAATTCAAGAAGCAGCAGGAAAAGCGGAGGAAACACAAGCCCACAGAATTAAATAGCAGAACAGAGATCCTTGCACTGCAGGTCCTCAGGTACTCCTCTCCAGTAAAGCAACCTGAGAGCAGCCCAGCAGTAATATGATCAAACCTTGCTCCAAATCTCCAGAAACTAGCAGTCAGAGGCAGCAGTACCTTTGATGATCTCACACTGCAGATATATAACAATATGACTCGGGGCACAGGAAGTCATCTGCTATTTTTAAGAAGTAATTCAAGACAAAAGGTAAATCACGACGGTCACATGACCTTAAAACCCCACCCCGCCTCTCGGCTTCTGAAACCCTTAAAGGGCCGGGAGGCGCCGGCGCCAAAGGGTTACAATTGGCACGGCAGTGCTCGGCTTCACCCAAACAGCCAAATTATTAATTCACAGGAATCTGTGAATGAAAAAAACTACGAGTCCCATCCTCCACCGCAGCAGACAGACTTGTAGTTTGAATGAACTGCAGGCATACTGATCAGTTCATTCATACAACCTGCAGCTCAGGAGCTGTCTGCCCAAACAGAGAGCTCTAGGCAAAGTGTGTGCAGAAACATTACATCTGCTGATCGCAGGTGCAATGCTCTACAGGCTCCTGAACAAAAAATAATAAATGGACATTTTTTTTTTTACCTGTAAAAATATGTGCATGTATTTTTTTTTTCAAAAAGGTGAACTTATGCTTTAAAGTGTTACTAAACCCACGATATCCAGTCTCCCACAGTACACACAACATGAAAGTACAATTATTTTAGTAAATACAAACGGCTAAATACCTTTTCTCATCAGCAGTTAGAGCAGTCTTGTGACTTCTATCAGTGTGCAGCAGAGCACTAGTTAAAGTTTGTAGGAGGAGTTTTCATTTTGCTCTAGGAGGATGCAGAGCCCCTGACCTCTATCTGTAGAGCGCTGATTGGCCCTGTGCTGATCACATGCACTCTCCCAAGAAAAAAAAACTCTCTAGCAATACACAACAAACTGAGCATGTGCAGAGTGATTCCAAAGGATATGTCTTATCAGGAGATAAGAGGGGGACAGTAGAAGAAGGGGAGGAGCAGAGAAATCAGGATCAATCCGCATTTTTACACAATGTGGTAGATTAACCCCTTAGGTTCCGCGGTGAGTATAACAAGCATGCTTTACTGCATATACAGACTGATTGTACTGTTGTGGGTTTAGTAACACTTTAAGGGTTACATTTAATTTATGGCAGGTTCACATCAGCCTGGTTTGCTGCAATGTGTTCACACAGACCATGCCTTCCTAAAATATCACAATGGACCAAAAATCATGCAGGCAGCTACTTCACAAGAGCGATGAAATGCGCGTTAGTGCATCACTGCACGTTACGCTGGCAAGATGCATTGGGGTACCAGTCACAATGAATGGCATTGCAC